AGCACCCGGTTGCCAGGTAGGGCGCGCGCGGAGAGCAGCCCCAGACGCCGGGACCTGGCGGGGCCCTGATGTCCGGGGTGGGTGCAGGTGGTGCTGCAGAGTCGGGGTTCCAACCAGCACAAGCCAGGGGGGCGTCCGGGTGGTGGCGGCGTGTCCCTGTGCCGGGGACCGCGGGATGCACAGGGTGGACTTGGATAGAGGTTTCGGTGAGCTCCAGGGACCAGGATTTGATACATGTCACGTGCGCTGATGTTCAGGTTCCAGAGAGGAGCAGGGTCTCCGAGGAGCAGGGTGCCAAATCCCCGTCAGCAGCTCCCCAAGCCAAACAGCCACGACATCTTCAGATGGGGGGCGATCAGGCGATGGGAAAGCTCCCAAAGGAAGGCATTTCCCAGCAAGGACAGGCTGACTGTTGTGGGATGTCCCCAGAGAGGTGAAGTCTCTTGCTACTTGGGCTGCTCCTCAGCCTGTGTCTGGGAGGGATGTGGGTAATGTCAAAGCTCCAGGAAGGTAGGGCTACCTGTCAATCCGAAGAGCTGATGCCCGGAGATTCCTAACTTGCACGAAAGCTTAGACACGTGAACCTTTCACTGCCTGGAAAGGAACTGGTTTTGGATCTAGGGTCACTAGGGAGAGTGGGGTCTGCGCGGGAGAGTCCTCCCCAGCCGTCTAAGCCCTGTTTCCCCTCTCCAAACGCGCCTTGCATTTCCTTCTCCCTGGGGCTGCTTAAAGCCGCCTTGAAGACTTGGCCCTTAGTAAACAAACGGCTGCAGCTGCTGGGCGTTTTTTGTAGAAAAACAAGGAACAGACGTGCTTCTTGTCCGAAGGGCAGGCATCTGCTGGATGTGGTGAGGCAAGCCTGTAGTTCTAGCTATTGGGAGGCTGAGGCAGGAGGATTGCTGCGAATTCGAGGCTAGCCCGAGCTACGTGATAAATCTCTGTCTCAAAATAAAACTGTAAGTAAGAGAGGTGAATAAGTGTGCTGGAGTTGGGTGACCTGTTCTTGGTCACCTCAGCTGCTTCTCTGGGGACATGCATGCTGTCCCTGGCTTTGAGCAATACAGGACAGAGGAGGCCTCCTCATAGGTGAATCTAGGTTTAGCAGCAGGGGAGAGAGCCATTTCTTCAGAGAGGGTGGTACCTGTCCCCTCATCACCAGATAGCCTTTCTCAAGGACAGTGGTTCTCAACCTTCCTCATGTTGCGACCCTTTAATACAGTTCCTCATGCTGTGGTGATCCCAGCCATAACTTTTTTGCTGCTGCATCAAGGGGTAATTTTACTACTGTTATGGATAGTAATGCAAATATCTGATATGTAATATGTGATCCAGGAGGGTCGCAACCCACAGGTTGAGAACCACTAGTCTAGAACCTCATTACCAAGCAGGGGGTCCATGACTTGGATACCAGAAGGCCCTCCTGCCTCTCCCTGGGTCCCACGACCATCATGAGTTTCCCTATCTGAAAGGCAGTATCTCTAGCTCTTTGAGGTCTCAAGGCTTGCGGGACATGGACAGCCACTGTCACGATGATTAGCAGGGGATAGCGACAGACCATGACAGACACAGAGGACAGCTCTGGGCCATCTTGGACGTGCTATTCTGAGGAGGATTTGGCATGGCTGACAGGATGGGTGGGAGGGGTAAGGGGGCCCCTCAGCTTTTTCTGTGGCTGTTTCGGCTGCTAGGACCACTTCCTCCTGTCTCTTCAGTCTCTACATGAAGTGTGTGGTCTAGTGAAGTCTTGACATACAAGGCAGAAAACCTGAGACAGTGGCCAAGAGTGAGGATATGGGCACCTTCTAAGAACCCCAGAAGGTAAATATGGCCACAAGGGCTGTTTGAGAGGAAATGCTGTCTATGTAGACATCCGGGCTACCAGACCCCAGAGAAAGACATGAGAAGGTACAGCGAGACTTGCATACTCTTGAGCCCAACTCAGACCCAGTCAAACCAGCTTCCCGTCCCCGCTGGAAGGTGGTTCCTTTGGTCCTCAACACCACCACCCTCTTTTCCCATCATGCTCCGATGCCATTTGTGTTCCTACTTGTTGGTCTTGCTTTTCTTTTCTTTTTTCTTTTTTTTGTGAGATAGGGTCTTGCTATATAGTCCTAGGCTGGCCTCAAACTCACGGTGATCCTCCTGCCTCAGCCACCCAAGTACTTGGGTTTTCAGGCGTGACATTTAGCATCCATCCAGTGTCGTCTGGAGCTGGCATGTGTCCTGTTCCTCCAAGCCCTGGGTTCAGGGGTGGGCTGCCCATGGCACTCCACATGGAGCAGACGCATGGAGTGATGTTCTGGTTTGCCTTCCTCCAGTCAAGGCGCACTGAGCATGCATGTGGGTACATGAGCAGCCCTCATGAGGAAGATGCAGGGGACAGTCCTTAAACAGCTGAGAACGGGATGAACTGGCTGAGGCAGGGGATCTTAATCCAGGTGTGCCTGAGCCACATAGTGAAACCCGGTCTCACCGACGACAAATGCTTCTCATTTCCCGCGAGTTTGCCTGAGTGGGAGTGTTTGGCGGCAGTGAAGCCCCTGACTGGTACGGGTGGTGTAGGTGGGGAGTTGCATGCTCACAGGGAAGACCCTATGGGTAGGAGCGGGAACTAAATCATAGTCAGTATTCAAGCAAGCTGTGCAACCCTAGACAATTGGCTTTGCCTCTCTGAGCCTCAGTTTATTTGGCAATAAGATAGGTGAATATTGATAATTGCACTTTAAGCTTGTCATACAGGTCAGATGAAATGTTGTATTAACAATGGTCTTGGGCGGGGAAGATAGCTCATTGGGTATTAGACCCCCAGAAAAACACACCTGTAACCGGAGTACTGTTGTGGGGAGTGGAGACAGGAGGATCCTCAGAGCTCACTGGACAGCTGGTCTAGCTGAACTGGTGAGCCTTAGGTTAAGGGGGAGACCCTGCCTCAAAAAATAACGTGGACCATGATTGAGGAGGACACCTGATATTGACTTCTGGCCTCCATGTGTATACACACATACACACACACACACACACACACACACACACACACACACCTAACTCACACAAAGTGATCCAAAGGGATTTTCTTTTTCTTTCTTTTCTTTTTTCTGAGACAGAAGTTTCTCTGTGTAGCCCTGGACGTCCTGAAACTCACTCTGTAGACCAAGCTGGCCTGGAACGCAGAGATCCACCTGCCTCTGCCTCCTGAGTGCTGGAATTAAAGGTGTGCATTATCATCTAGTTCCTGAGAATTTTCAAAATGTCAGATGAGGTAGACAAGATGTTGATCAGAGTGGTTCAGGTCGTCTGTGACCATGGCCTCCCTTCTTTTCTCCTCTTCAGGAAGTATGAGGTGGACTCTCAAGGGCTACTCCAGATTAAATAGCATATAGACCATTTCAAGTTATAGAAAGGGTGACGCTGAGATCAGGGGTGTGGCTCAGTGGTAGAGCCCCTGCCTAGAATCCCCCAGTGAGGGGCTAGGGTGTGGCTCAGTGGTAGAGCACCTGCCTAGAATCCCCCAGTGAGGGACTGGGGTGTGGCTCAGCGGTAGAGCACCTGCCTAGAATTCCCCAGTGAGGGGGTTATGGGTATGGCTCAGGGATAGGTTTTACCTAGCCTACATTAGGTCACATGTTCCATCTCTAGCACAGAAAGAGAGAGAGAGGAAAGGAGGGAGGGAGGGAAGGAGGAAGGGAGGGAGGGAGGGAGGGAGGGAGGGAGGGAAGAAGGAAGGAAGGAAGGATGAAGTAGGTACAACCTTGAGGGGTAATTAGAGGTACAGCTCCTGGCTGAGGCTTGGGTGTTGTGTGTGTGAGCAGGTCTGGGACAGAGCAGGGAGTCTAAGTAGGTGGTGTGATTGGCATCCGGACACAAAAATAGGTTGATGAGACGTGTGAGGAGTCAGGTGCTTAGCAGCTGCAGGCCTCCAGGGCTGCGTCCCTCCTCCCCTCTGGGAGCTGACCGCGCAGGGGCAGGGAAAGGAGGCGAGCAGAACTGCCCTGTGTTCCCGCCTGAGCAGACCCCTCTGAGATGCGAAATAAATCCCAAAGCAACCTGTTGCTGGAGCCAAGCAGGACCCGATGAAAACACGCACGTTCCCATGTTTACTCCCAGGGCGGGCTCTGGTTGACAGTGACTCCCACCGCTTGCAGCCCCACTGCCTGTCCGCCCAGCTGCTTGCCTCCAGTTACAATTTGCCGTGTCAGGCTTGCACGCTGACTCTTGACTCTTAGGTCTGTGTCTTAGAGCCTTGTTAATAGTCTAGAAACCAGGGCCTGGGAGAAGTCCAGCTGCCTTTCTCCCCAGAGGACAGCCCCTAGGTGCACAAAGAGCTCTTGAAACGAAGAAGCCTATGGTTTCGGGGGAGGGTGTGGGTGCCTCCCTGAGGGAGCAGGGTGCCGTTTTGTGATTGTAAGGTGTGTGTGGGGGGGGGACAGCCTCTGACTTTTCTAAAGGAGCCCTCCTAGCCTTGAGGGGAGAGGCTTCCTTTATAAGCATGCCCCTCACTTCTGATGGATTTAAGCAGAGTTGGGGTCCTGTGGAAATAGGGCGCCTCCGTGCTCAGTTCTGGCATGGAGAGCTGATTCAGTGGGTAGAGCACTTGCCACACAGGCATGGGCATCTGAGTTTGGATTCCCTAACACCCATGTGAAAAACTGAGCTGGCATATCTGTGGGCTGCAGCCCACCAGCCTGGCTGAATTTCTAAGCTCCGGGTTCAGTCAGTGAGAGACTCTTTTTCCAAAAGTAAGGTGGAGCGTGATAGATTTGACATCAACCTCTGGCCTCCACAGTCGTGCACTCACCAGCGCGCATGCGTGCATCCCTTCTGACAGGGCTAGGGGAATGCTACCTCCTAGTGGTAAACAGCATCGTTCTGACGCCAGTTCACAGAAAACCCCCTGTGGTCTGAGAGACAGGTATGTGTGATCAAGGACAATGACCGTGGTGCCTTGTGTGTCCTCTGCAGGGTGTCGCAGGCTTCTGCTCACTTTGCTGAGACATTCCAGCACAAGGCAGAGCGGAGCCACACTGACTTTCAGTCCAGTCTATCTCCTGGGAGCCCTGAGCAGCTACTCTGTCAGCCCTAGGGAAGGTTCTAGAAGAGACCGTGGCTGTCCCCTGGGAGATTCATGGGCCAGAAAAGGAGCCTCAAGGAGTGGCCAGGGGCCACACACACACCATGCTGCAGTGCAGACCACCCCAGGAGTTCAGCTTCGGGCCCCGGGCCCTGAAGGATGCCCTAATCTCCTGCGATCTGGCCCTGCAGCAGCTTTACACCTCAGCCTTCTCCCCATCGGAGAGGCTTTTCCTGTCTGAGGCCTACAACCCTCACCGGACCCTCTTCAGCACACTGCTCATCCACTCGGCCTTTGACTGGCTCCTGAGTCGCCCAGAGGCCCCTGAGGATTTCGAGACCTTCCATACTTCCCTGCAACTCCGGAAGCAGAGCCTGGCCCGGAAACACATTTACCTGCAGCCCATAGGTATGAGAGCTGTCTGGAGCCATCAGTACTCCTGGGAGGGGGTATGTGGCTCAGTGGTAGAGCACCTGCCTAGAATCCCCCAGTGAGGGGCTGGGGTGTGGCTCAGTGGTAGAGCACCTGCCTAGAATCCCCCAGTAAGAAACAGCTACAGACAGAAATGACTTGAAGGCAATGGCTTGGGGTCTGCTGGATACTAAGGGGGGGGGGCAAAGTGATGTAGGCAGAAGTTTCTATCCTGCCTGGTCCCATAGGAGGCTTATATTAATTATAAACTGTTTGGCTTATTGTTCTGACTTACTACTAACTACCTCTTACAACTTAAATTAACCCATAATTTTTATCTATGTTAAGCCACATGACTTGGTACCTTTTCTCAGTGAGGCATTCTCATCTTGCTTCCTCTATGTCTGGCTTATGACTGCATCTCTGCCTTTCCTCTCCCCAGAATTCTCCTAGTCTGGTTGCCCTACCTATACTTCCTGCCTGGCTCCTGGCCAGTCAGTGTTTTATTAAACCAATATGAGTGATATATCTACAGTGTACAAGAGCACTGTCCCACAGCAAAGTGGCTTGCCTTTTTAGGATTCTCCATTCTGTATGGGTCATCTAGGTGGTGTTCTCACAGTCCTGGCCATGACCTGGTCATAACCTAACCTGCCCTAGGGCCTTTGCTGGGTGCTTGGGGTCTCTGTGGATTCTGAGGGCAAGAATTACTCATGCCACAGGTTGAAAGCTGAGGTTGGAGATGCTGCTGGCTTTCTTGGTGGTAGAGCTGGATTCTGGATGAGATGGGACTTGAAGGCAAATCCAACTGTCCTCATGATCTTTTAGAGGACACTGGATTGGGCGTGGAGGGAACTTGGGGATCCTTAGATAATCCTCCAGGTCTCCTTATCAGGCAGACACTAGAGAAAATGGAGCAACTAAGGCTGAGAAAGAAGCTCAGTCAGATGCTGGAGAGGGAGGAGGGACAAGCCAGCAGAGGGACATGCAGGGCATTGTGGCTATTATCTTTGTAAGGGAGGACAGAGGGCACAGACTTTCTGAACATTGACATGCCCTGCTTTGTCCTGCTCCCTAGAATGGTACCTCAGTGACCAGCCTGGGTTCTCTGACAGTTCCTCCTGGCTGATTGGGCCAGAGTGCCACTTGCACTGTGGTTCCTGCTTCCCAGCATCCTACAGTCTGCAAACTGCTCACACTTGCTTTAGAGTTAGCCCCTCTGTCCACATCATCTGTTGAGTCTGGGTAGGAGGGCTTCAGTGGGCCTAGGACCCGTCTTTCACCCTCTCTTCCTCCCTTCCTTCTTTCCATCCTTTTTAAAAAGTGTATTTGTGTCTGTGTGTAGATTTGTGTACATGCACACACGTGTTCTCAGAGGCCAGAGATATCTGATCCCCTTGAAGCTGAAGTTATGAGCAGTTGTGAGCTGCCCATCGTGGGTGCTGGGGATTGAACTTGGGTCCTCTACAAGAACAGTATGGGCTCTCGATTGTTGAGCCATCTCTCCATCCCTTTTAGTCTGGGTTGGCCCTGAACTCATTATGACCTTAAACTCCTGCCCCACCTCCTGAGTGCTGGGATTGCAGGTGTGTACCACCATTGCCCCGTGTGTGCAGCGGTGGGGATGAAATCCAGAGCCTTGTGCATGCTTAGTAAGCATTCTTCCTTCTGAGCCACATCTCTGGCCTCTGAAACCTGCATTTCTAACAGTGTTGGGACCCTGCAGTCACTCACTCCTTGTTTCTATCTGAGATCTGTGCCCTGTCCAAGTATCATACAGTGAGCTTATGCCCGCCTTCCCCCTTCCAGTGGCTGTTCCCAGCTCCAGATGCCCTGGACACCACTGTCAGCTGGTGCCCCTTTGCCCTAGCCAGGCTGCCTTTCTCTTGGCCTGGGACCTGTTAGCTTCTAGCTATGCCAGCTGCCCTCTTCGGTCAGCTTAGATACCTTCGCCCACCCTGTGTTACCACAGGAAACTGGCCTTTTTCACATGAGTGAGGCTCACTGGGCCAGAGGTCACAGCAGGCTCATGTGTTTCTGTTCACCTAGATCTGAGTGAGGGGCTGGCGGGATGCCCCTTGCTGGACCATCTTCAAAGCTGCGCGGAGGCTTTCTTCCTGGGCCTTCGAGTCAAGTGCCTGCCCACAGTGGCCGCTGCCTCCATCCATTGCTCCTCAAGACCCAGTCAGGACGCTGACGGGTTCCAGCTCCACACAGGTGGGCTAGAAGGGTGTGGGGGGCTGCCTGGGGTACCACTGTGCAGCAATAGAGTCATCTGGAAGGAAGGAGCCCTGGAGAGGGAAGGAATGTTTTTTGATGTTTTGTGTATGTGCGTGTGTGTGCATGCAGGTGTGTGTGTGTGTTTGATACATGTGTGTGTAAGCCAGAGGACAATCTTAGATATCATTGCTTAGGAGTTGTTCACTTTGTTTGCTTCTTTTTTTTTAAGATTTATTTTTATCTTTGTGTGCATTGGTCTTTTGCCTGCATGTGTATGTCTGTGTGAGGCTGCCAGATCCCTTGGACCAGAAGTTTCAGACAGTTGTGAGCTGCCACGTAGGTGCTGGGAATTGAACTCAGGACCTCTGGAAGAGCAACCAGTGCTCCTAACTGCTGAGCCATCTTTCCATCCCTACTTTGTTTTCTGACTGGCTAGTGAGCAGCAGGTATTTGATTGTCTCTGCCTCCCCAGTGCTGGGATTACAGTCACAGGTGACCACTTCTGACTTACTTATATAATTAAGACTTTAAAAGATTTAGTTGCTTTTTTTATGTGCATGAGTGTTTGCCAGGACATGTGCACACCATGTGCATGTGTGGTACCTGCCGAGGTCAGAAGCAGGCATTAGATCCCCCTGGACCTGGTCTTACAGATGGATGAGTCACTGGCGGGTGCTGGGAACTGAACTGGGGTCCTCGGCAAAAAAGCAGCCAGTGCTTTTAGGAATAATAATTTTTATATATGTGCATATGTCTATGCTTGTGTGAGTTTATGTGGATCACATGCATGCAGGTGCCAGAGGCCGGAGGGCATCATATCCCCTGGAAGTGGAGCTACAGGACACTGTGAGACTCCACGAGGTGCTGGGACTGAATCAATCCTCCACCCCTCCCCACACCTTTGTGGATTTTAAAGACAGTTCAGTAGCCCAGACTGGCTTTCACCTTGTGATCCTCCTGCCTCAGCTTCTTGAATGCTGAGATTAAAGGTGCACACGGCAGTGCCCAGAGACTTACAAGCTTTGATTGACAGTTGGACACTTTTTTTTTGAAAAGCATTCCTGGGAGCATCTATGTTCCAGGATAGTTTCCTTCACCCTGCCTGCCCATGTATGACAAAGGCATGATTCTTTTCTGGGCTGTTCTGTGACCCTTGGGGGCAGTCTGCATCCTGTGCTGGGTGTGGAACCTAATGGCAGCAGACAGAGAACAGCATCTTTGGGGTCCGTTTCCTGCCTAACGAGCAGCCCGGATTCACTGCACTGTGGGCCGGGCTTCTCTTGGCCCTGCTTTCTTAGCACGTGTTGGGCTCAGGAAAAGTTCATTGAGGTCAGCTGAGGACATAGTGCAGGGCTATGGCAGGAGGATTTAAAGTTTTAGGTTTGCCTGGGCTACAGAGTGAGTTTAGAGCAGCTTAGGCTACATACTAAGAACCTGTTTTAAATAAGTAAAAAGAAGGCTGGGGCGTGGCTCAGTGGTAGAGCCCCTGCCTAGAATCCCCCAGTGAGGGGCTGGGGTGTGCCTCAGTGGTAGAGTACCTGCCTAGAATCCCCCAGTGAGGGATTGGGGTGTGGTCAGTGGTAGAGCCCCTTCCTAGAATCCCCCAGTGAGGGGCTGGGGTGTGGTCAGTTGGTAAAGCACCTGCCTAGAATCCTCCAGTGAGGGGCTGGGGTGTGGCTAGTGGTAGACTATTTATGTAGCACATGCAGGGCCCAAAAGACACTGAAAAAATGTAAGATAGTTTTAGTTATATCAAATATTCTGTCAAAATCAGTTTACTTATTTTTAATAGCTTTGAGACCTTATTTAATTTAGCTTTGAAACATGGTCTCACTGTAGCCCTGGCTGGCTTGACTCACAGAGGTCTGCTTGCCTCCTGCGTAAAGGCCGTGGAGGGGCTCCCCTATATGCCTCTTTAGCAATGGCTCCCAGACTCCAGTGCAGCCATCTCCCTGCCTTGTGTTGGTCTCCATATTGATCTTCATGGAGGTGCTCCCAGCCCCATCGACTTCTCTGCATGTCCACAGCAGACTTACTGGGGCAGCTCTTCTCTGTCTAGTGTCCGTTCCCCTCCCCCTTTGCCGTCACTCTCTTGGCTTTTCTGGGCCTCACTGGCCACCTGGGTCTCCCTCCTGCTGCCCTCGGTGGCTCAGACACCTTGCTCTGACCTGGACTCTCTGGCCAATGCAGAGCCATTGTCCTCCTAACACTGTAATTATAACCGCAGGTCACTCTTGCTGTTTTAGGTAACTTGTTCCAAGGGCCTAGGGACCTGGATGTGGGCTTTTTGGGGTAACTGTTCAGCTGCCTGTTCCCTGCTGGGTTCTTGTTTCCTGTGTGTGTGTGTCTGTAAGTGTGTGTGTGTGTGTGTGTGTGTGTGTGTAGAACAGAGGTCAGTCTTGGTTAGGTCTTCACTTACTGAAAAAACCTTTTTTTTTTTTTTTTTTGAGACAGGTCCCTCACGGCTATGGGACGCACTGATCTGGCCAGGCTGGCTGGCCAGTGAACCCCAGGGACCCACCTGTCTCTGCCTCCCCAGTGCTGGGATCACAAGTCACTGGGACTTCTTACATGGGTTCTAGGGATCAGACTCAGGCTCTCATGTTTGTGTGACAAGCACTTTACTGAGATGAAAAAATCACGTTACTGGGCCATGTCTCCAGCTCCACTGTCCTTTCAGCCTCTCCACAGGGACTCTGTCCACATCAACTCTTATGACCCAGGAGACAGGGACCCAGGAAGTGACTGGCACTGGGGATCCCTGGCTTGTCTCTCAGGTTGCCCCATGGTTCTCAGCTGTCATATCGCTGGTCTGGGTTCTGGGTCTCCCCAGGATGTAGCTTGTCAGTATCCAGCTTTGAGAGGGTTGGTCCCAGACCAAGAGACAGATGGGAGGTTCTTCTGCCCACCCTGACCCCAGCCTTCTTCCTGCAGATGGCATCCTGTCCTTCTTGAAGAACAACAAGCCAGGGGACGCACTGTGCGTGTTGGGTCTCACGCTGGCTGACTTGTACCCCCATGATGCCTGGACCTTCACCTTTGGCAGGTTCCTTCCGGGGCATGGTGAGTGGAGGCCTTAGCAACTGTTACTCAGGAGGCAGAGTGGTGTGGTCCCAAGGTGCTCCAGAGCTGGGCATGGTGAACCAGTGCCAGGCATGGTGAACATGCTTCCACCCCCTCAGGGTGGTGTGTGTGCACCAACTCGAGGCTATGTTCTCACTGGGCCTGGGCGAGGGGCTGGTCCCCAGAGTTGACTACACAGGCCAGGACTGGAGGATGAGTTTCTCGTCAAGCTGTCCTGGCTTTAGGGAATGCTGGGATGGTTCTGCCCTGGGTCCCTTGAGTCATGGCTGTCTCTTCTTTCGGCCTCTCCCCAGAAGTGGGTGTGTGCAGCTTCGCTCGATTCTCTGGGGAGTTTCTGCAGGCCGGGCCCAGTGTTCCTGACCCAGCTCTGCTGGAGGCAGCTGCAGATGGCCCTGAGACACTGCCACATGAGGGAGGCCGGACCATATGCTTCAGTGCCCTGGGCATGGTTCAGTGCTGTAAGGTGAGCACAGGGTTGGGGGCGGCATGGGACATGGGACAGGGTGGATCAGAGACACGAGCCCCGGCACAGTCAGTGCTAAAAGGAGGATGGCCCCTGTCATTGTTCATTAAATACAGCAGCTGCCCCTTAAGCAAATGCTGTCCTTCAACCCCACAGGACCAGCAGCCAGCCAGCCAGGCGGGAATTCGGGTCTATCACATGACTACTAAAGGGAACTTTTTCTAGATCTCTATCCCTCTATAGAACTCAGAATCCAGAGGTTGAGGTGAAATTCTGCTCTCTCAGAGAGGCTGAACAGCAAGCAGCTAACCTCTTGTTCATGTCTCCCAAAAGCCAGGCATCCTTCTGTTCAGCCCCCACTTTAGAACCACAGATATACATGGTTCCTCCCTACCACTTCCTGCCAGCTAGCTGCTGACTCAGCCCCCTGACCCCAGGTTAATTTTATTTAATTAAACAAATATAACATGTCCTTGCATTGTTAACAAAACAGCAGAAAAATGTAACACATTAAAATAATAGTCCATGATATTTCCCCTTTTTCTCTGAATAAAAATTAAAGGTTTTGACTTTAACATAGTAAAAGATATGTTTTTATATTCAATAAAAATAGTTATCAAGAATTTACAATATTTGGTCCATTTGCATTTAGCAAATTCAGAGAAAACACTCCACCATCCATCTTAGTGACTCCAAAGCTTTTTTGTTTTTGTTTGTTTGTTTTTTTTTGACAGGGTTTCTCTGTAGCTTTGGAGCCTGTCCTTGAACTAGCTCTTGCAGACTAGGCTGGTCTTGAACTCACAGACCTGCCTCTGCTTCCCAAGAGCTGGCATTAAAGGTGTGCGCCACCACCATCTAACTGACTCCAAAGTTTTATACCTAATTTACTTTCTTTCATAATTAAAGAAAACTGCAATTATAACTATCTAGTCTTCAACTCCATCCAAGGCCCCAGAAGAATATAAATATTACCTGAGTAAACAGGAAGTGCATTGCAAGCAGCTTCCAAGACTTTAGAAACAACAGAGACATCTGACAGGCACCCAGAGTTCCTCTGCAACACTGAGGCATCTGTCTTCAGCCTACAGGCCTAGAGTATCTGACAGACTTTTCAGTGAAGCTGGAAATGTGAAGGACTGTCCTGCCTTGTTTTTGGCAAAGTTCAGCAGTCACTTTCCTGTGGGTTGTGCGTGTCCAGTCTGCACAGCACACAGTCAAGCAGTCAAGCCAAAAATCAGTTTCTTGCCCAAATGGCTAATCTTGCCACAGTGAAAGCAAACTCTTCTGGAGTTTCTTCGATGCCCATCGTCCTTTTATAAAGTAATTTTGTTGGGGCTGGAGAAATGGCTCAGCGGTTAGGAGCACTGGCTATTTTTTCAGAGGTCCGGAGTTCAATTCCCAGCAACCATATAGTGGCTCACAACCATCTGTAATGAGATCTG